CCACAAGCTCCTCCAAAATGTTATAAAACTATTTCTAAAAGTTATAAACCAAACGCGTTTTCTAGTTTTTTGTTTTGAAAAAAGGTTTTTCAAAACGACAAATCAAACGCATTTTCTGCAATTTTAAAATAATTCTTCAAAATAGAAAACTGAAGATGAATTCAAAATAGATAACAAAAAACAGCAACACAAACCAAACACACCCTTAGCTCGTGCATTTTAATTGCTAGAGAAAAGCTAAATGACGAATCTGACTAGAAATATTGCAAAAAAAAAAAAAAAAAGGTTAAATTTGGAAGTGACGCCTGAAATAAATCTTTCTTGGATAATCAGCTGAAAGTCACAAGTGCTTTGCTATCCTCTTATGGATGCTGACAGGACCAGCAGATCTTTTCTGGTCCAGTTATAGAAAATAGTACAATTATTTCCTCAAGATGCACGAACCTTTTTTGTTTCTGAAATTTAGGTTGGCTTTTAGCTGTTCATTGGATTTGGTTACTATATGTGCATGGGTCCGAATTTAAGGCCAGGTTTCCCATTTGTTGCACTCATAATTTTCTATAACATGTCTAACCATAAATATATTGTCAGAGTGTAAATGTGTGTGAATTGTGTATCTTTTAGTTGGAGATGCTCCTTCTGTGTCTCGGTGTGTTCAGTGTATATAGGGTTCATTGGTGCCCTTACTTTCAGTTATCTTTTCTGAAATTGGATTTGGAATTTGTTATCAAGGAGACAGCCCTCTGGAAACTTTTTAGAGCTAATTCATTTTGGTTGTCTTTTCTTTATTGATACCTTGTGTGATCATTGAGGTTCAGACAAACGATCTGTATTTTTAACCATGGAAAGTGGCTCAACCGACAATTGTATATGCCAGCTCTATAGTTATATAGGTTGGACTGCAGACCTTGTTCTCTTGGTATGGGTGACAAATATGTTGTTTGTTGTATTCGTAGATATCATTACAATGTTGCAGACTCAAGGCTCTTTCAGCATGTAGAAAAGGGTACCCAAGATGGTTTATATATTAGCTGCGTGGCTTCAGCATCAAGTCTTTGGGCCTTAATCATGGATGCCGGAACAGGTTTCACTTCACAGGTGTATGAGCTTTCAGCTGTATTCCTTCATAAGGTTGTTTTTGCCATATACATTCACATTTCAATTTAATTTCGTTTGGCCATTCTAGGTGGATGCACCTATCCTCTCCTATTAATAGCCTGTGTTTCTCTTCAGGATTGGATCATGGAACAGTGGGAAAAAAATTATTACATCAGTTCAATAGCAGGTGCAGCTAATGGAAGTTCCTTGGTGGTTATGTCTAAAGGTTCGCACAAGTCTATCTGTATGAGTGTGCTGTAGTACTTTCATCTTTTCGCTTGGCTGTAAATCAATTATATGATCTATTGTATTGGGTTGATGATCTCCATCATATTACACCCAGCTTTCTTGATGTCAGTTTTTTCCTTTCAAGTGGAAGGAAGGTTCATATGATTATTTGTATCGCTGTTCCCGTCAGATGATCTCAATCATATTTATACGATTCTTTAGGTTCTCATTTGTGCATTCACCAATTCTCCAGGAACTCCTTACACCCAGCAGTCCTATAAAGTCAGTGAATCATTTCCTTTCAAGTGGATTAATAAAAAGTGGAAGGAAGGTTTCCATGTCACATCCATGACTACAGCTGGCAATCGCTGGGGTGTTGTAATGTCTAGAAATTCTGGGTATTCTGAGCAGGTAGACTGGATTTTATGGTTGTAATGAGCCAATCTTTGTGGAATTCCTCATTCCTGATTATATGGTTGTTTTCAAATTTCCATAATCAACATGGACTTATTGATGCTATAGGTTGTAGAGCTTGATTTTCTGTACCCAAGTGAGGGAATACATCGCCGCTGGGAAAGTGGTTATAGAATAACTTCCATGGCTGCGACTGATGATCAAGCAGCCTTCATTCTGAGTACACTAAAGCGAAAACTGGTAGACGAGACTCAGGAAACTCTTCGCACATCTGCTTTCCCAAGTACCCATGTAAAGGTAACTTGCTTTCACTCGCTGTTTATCTCCTTCTGTATGGATTTCTTAGAGATGTGCAGCATTCGTATGAATGCGTAAATAAAGATTAGTTTTCTCATTTTTTAACATTTCCCACCTCAATTTAAATTCAAATTTAGTGCTTGCTGTTTATCTATTTTCATTCTACTGCAGGAGAAATGGTCCAAAAATCTCTACATTGCATCCATTTGTTATGGTCGTACTGTGTGCTGAAGCTTTTGTATGTATTTTTGTTGGAGTGAATGGGTTGACTTTTTGAAAGCTGATTTATCGAGCCTCGATTGGGTGAAAGTACACCTTTATCTTTCTACCGAAGATCATGTTATTTGTTGCCACCGTGAAATGTACTTATTAAACTTTTGTAAAATGGTACAAAGACCTGAAGAAGAACACAAGTCGTAAAAGGTGGCACAAAAAAGGCAGAGGTCGGCCGAGCGAACAAAAATTTATGTCAATTCGCCTTGGTTATTCACTCCCTTGAAATAAAATGGCATGTATTTATATAAAGCAAATTACATAGAGATGACTTCAAAGTTCAAAGACGTGGGTGGGGCCCTTTGGCCATTATGATATTTCCTGAGGATTCTAATAATCTTTCTTCTTCATATGATTCGATTATTTCTTTTATTATGAAGTGTACAATTTGTCTATTATAAAGCCCTTGAACTGCCTGGCCCGTCTAGGCTCAGCCCGCTCTGAGTCTAGCATGTGGAGCGAGACGAGAAGTATCCACAGCTATAGATGGGCTTAGACAGGCTTCTCGTTAAGCTATCTAAGCCCCATGGCAGGTTAGGTTTGCACGACTCATTTGGCATCTATACAACGAAATGCATTTGCAGGTAGTGAAAGCACCAACCTCATGCGCAGGCTGGATTCGATTTCCTCACAGGGACAGTTGAAATCTGTGTATGGCCTTCTTCTCAAAGATTTCAAGTGATTTACGGATTTGTTTGGTAAAGTTTTTGCTTCTTGTAGAAGAGTTTTTAAGAAAAAAGGTTATTTTAAATCAATTTCTTTTAAGAGTTCTTCTAGTTAGATGAAATATTTTCATAAACTTTTATGATATTATTTAAATATGTTCAAAAATAACTTAGCCCCCGTTATTTTTTATTATAATGGAGGGACTAGTATATTTTAAAAAAAAATGGATGGTTGTAAAAAAATGAAAAGTTTTTTATTTACGTGTAATAATATTTTATTGAAAATTGTGTGGTTGAAAATAGAAAAGAAAAGTTTAATTTAATTTGATGAGATTTAATGAGTGCGAAATAGGGGCTTATTAATCATGAAATAAATTTTTGACTTTTGAAAAGACAAATTTAATTGAATTCATGACTTCAAAATTTGCACAAATACCTGAAGGGTTGCAAGTACGATTGGTTTGAGCTAAGGTTGAGCTAAAAGCGGGATATAGTTTCAACACGTCTGATCTACCGTATTATCTTGTACATGTTAGATTAATCGGTTGTGATATTTGTATATAATAAGTTTACATAATGATTTACATATAAATAATGTCATGAGATATGTTTTGAGTATTCAAAATTGAGTCAACTTTCGGACTGAAACCTGAAAATTTGATTATTTTGAAAGTAAATTGAATTAAAGTTATCTAGTTCCTTAAGTCAGTAACACAAAACAAATTAACCCAATAGTGTTTCTAGAAAGTGGATCTGTAGTAAAGATTGCTTTTGACTGGTAAACGAATGTTGAAGAAGTCATAAGCCAACCGTAATGACAAACGCGTTTTCTTCTATATATATATATATATATGATCATACATCCCCGACAAAGTCAATCTCCAGAACGAAAGAATCCATCAACAATCGTTGACATCTAAACTTTCAGAAATGTGTCCTCTGAGGTTCATCTTGGTGTTTTTCTCGGCTGTGTTGGCCGGGTATTTGGCTTGGACGACGGTGAGCTCCCTTCCTTCTGAATCAGAGGATTCAACTCATGAAAATAGTTCTACATCTTCTCAGGGGAAACATGAATTGGGATTTGTAAAGGTCAGAAGAAAGAAGAAATTGCCTGATTTCAGGTTTTTTTTTTTTGTATTTCTTCTAACTTTTTGCAGTTCTCAACTTTTTTAGATTATTCAAAATGGCTTCTGGGTGTTCATTGACATGGCGAGTGGGCGCTACCTTTGGAAGAACATCAGACAACTGAAGAACGAAGAGAAGGCAAAAATGCAATAGAGTCCTGTATTCAAAGGCAATCTTCTTGACATTTTTCTGAGATCGTATAGTATTATAGTACATGTAAATTTATTTTTATGGCACAAAAGTAAATGTGAATTCATTCATATTTATCTCCTCTTAGAATCCTTGCCTTCAGTCAATGAAAATATAAACATGGATAATTCCAATCCTTCAGTAATTATTGCATTCACAATTTTTACATCATCAGAAGGGTGTTTGTCAATCCAACTAATGTTTTTAACTCTTCTTTTGTGACTTATTTACATAAAGAAATGAATAACAAAAAGATACACATATATAAGCGCAAGAGTTGGCTTTAATTTAGATCAACTTGTAGCTTGATTGACATGTACAAAAGAGTAAGAAGAGCACCCTGTGGAAGTGGAGCATACCTTGCTAGATTTGAACCAAACCACATGGCAACAAGTACAACGGCAACGATGCTGCTGCTCGTTTTGCCACAAACCCAACTTGCAAACGATAGGAACACTGTAAGCAAAATGCCACTTCTTCCTCCCAATAACCATGCAAATACGTAACCCACCTTGTACCCAGTGTCCAATTTCCGGTCAAGCAAAGCCATAAGGCTACTAAACGTGAGAGACAAGTGGGTACCTACAGTCTGCATCAGAAACAGGGAGAGGAAAGCCGATCTAAGCACCTCAACGAAGGAGCCTCTCTCCTCAGCTGTGTTTTCTTCTTCAGATTCATCGTACACTTCATCATCCTCTGTGTGGTATTGTTCCCAATATTTCTCACGTTGCATTTTCCGCCTCAAGTAAGCCCACCTATAGATCCTTTGACCATCGTCATATTCATGGTTAAAGGCCCAATTATCCCCTGATGACGTGCCAGCATTTTCTTGATGTCGAAGGGTCCAATCATATTGATTCCTTTTCTTCTCATCAATCAGTATCTGAACAAGATACAGTTTTGAGTTTCCCGTTAATGTCACAAATTTAGTGCTGGTGCTATTGGAACAAACGTAACGGTCAACATTGTGAAAGAGATCATAAACAATGCAATCTATGATGGTACCAAAAGTTATTTGGGATTTCCAGTGGAGTGCCAAGAAATATAAACCCATGTGAAGGTTCACATCATCAGAAATGGAAATAACTAAAAAGTTGGCCAACATATAGCATGTGGAACTTCTTTCCTCATTTTTCTTCCACAAAAGTTTACAGAAATTAGCAAAATTCCTAGATAAAACTGCATAATCACAATTCACAAACTGAATAGTTAAAGCTTCACCATACAAAATTTTGGCAATATATTTTGACTTATGAATGTTCTATCATATAAAAAGAACATAAACTGAAGCTATTGTAAATCTCATTCCAATACAGTCTCCAGTAAAATCACATTGGACGCAACAGCAGTCTGATGGAACGTGTCTGAATTCAATGTGCAGAACTTAATCAACTTTAATCAAATAAAAACAAATAAAATTTAGGGTGGAAAATATTATCGGGCATCCATTAGTTAGATAAACTTACGTAAATGCTTGCTATGTATGATCCCAAAGAATTGAAGAAGAAATAAAAGAAAAACAATGAATTAACAGTATTCAGAAATTTTCTAGCCGTGTTTTTCTCAAATGTTATTGATTGAAGTAATCTGCCAATGTACTGAGGCTCTGTTGCATCATCGTGTGGAAGATTACTTCCATATATTTTGAGAAGGAATAACTCCAAATTTATTATAAATTCTTAAATCGCTTGATATTATGGGGGAAGTTAACCTCCTCACCTCCATGGGAAGAATAATCTTCTCTCAACTTTTAAATCGACAAAGACACCCATTTTCTTGTTTTTAATGTTTGCACTTTATTTGGAGATTCAGTTATTCTCCAAATCTAATTAAATATTACATCAGCAGCACACCCAAGCCACTGCTGCACTGGAGGAATTCCCAACACATCCATTTGTCGCGAGTACCGCAACCAGCATTATAGAATTCCATTTGACATCATTTCCGGGAAAAAACTCAGAGTGATACAAATGGAACTAATCTTCGTTCTCTTCTTCACTAGTATTGTGCACTAAGAGGATCCTAAAAACACTAGTCCTGAATCTGGTTGAGTTAGACCTCTAAGGCCTGATTTGGTTCCTGCTGGAATAGGTTGGCAATTCCAGGAAACTTTTACCGTTCTCTTGTTTGGTAACACCTGAAAAAGAGTGGGAAATC